AAAAAGACAAAATTTAAAACATTATTTGAAGTATATAAATCTTTTGTGCAGATGCACACACTGAGAGAGAGAAAAATAATTTTAGCAGGACATACCTCAGAGTATCAGTGGTTCTTGCCATGCAGTAGAATTCTAGGTGATTGTGTTGTCTTTCATTTACTTATCTGCCCATCTTTAATTTTCTACAATGAACATGAACTACTTTTATAATAATAGTGGGTTTTTTTTAAGAGTTTGTTCCTAGATTTCTTTTCAATATTCACCTTTAAAGGTGTCTGTGGTTGGAGGTCTGCATGACACCTACGAATGTTTAGTTATTCTTCCTGTGACTGGGTTATAGGCTGAATGTCCCAGGGCTCATTAAACAGAAAACAATAAACAGACATTTCCCAAGTGTAAACTCAGGGGAAATTTGGCCTTTGTCAGCAAATTTTCCAGGTATACTAATAGCCAAACCTAGTACAACAGTTGGGCTTCGTAGATAAAATTAAGTAGAAAGTTATAAAAGATCCACTTCATGTGATATTTTTAACAATCAAATGAAGTGATTTTGATTTGTCTTCTTCAAACCACTTTTGATCTTTTTATACTGTACTTGTTATTCAGAGCCCAGTAGAGTGATTATGAGGAACATTTATTGATGACTCCCACAGAGTAACTACATCATTTGAATTTAGTGATTAGATTCCATTTAAATGTTCAAACCTCTATTTGGTAACTAGGTATGTGCCTAGTAGTACATTAGATACAGTGGGGGTATTCAAATACCTCACAAAGACAAATGTCCTGGAGGAGCTCAGTTTTGACATAGAGACAGATAAATTAATAAATATCCCTGCATATATGGTGAGCTTCATAATCAGCATTGAGTCATGCAAAGAAAAAGTCATGGAAGCAAAGGAGAAGGAAACATTAATTTTAATCAAAGGAGCAGGAACGTTTTCTTAAGAGGAAGTAAGATTTAGGGCTAGAAATAAAGAAAGTGTATTACTCCCTTGTTGGTTACAGGTAACAAATAAAAATCAAACTAACTTAAATAAAAAGGTGATTTATTAGCTTCTGTAATAAGGATATCTTGCTTTAGGCAAGGGAAATCTAGGCTTAGCCTTCCCTCTCTTTCTATTAACTTGATCAGAAACTTTCCACAAAAGATGGCTGCTAAACATGGAAACTTACGTACTTAAGACTTACAATCCAGGCCTTTCTGTTTCCCAACAACCATTCATTAAAAATCAGGGAAGATTCTCATTGGCTCTGCTTGGGAAACTGCCCATTCTGGGCCAATCCTTATGGCCAGCTAGGTCACATGCCCACCCTGCAGGGAGTGGGGAAGAGGGTAGGCATCATAATTGACAATTCCATCAGATTAGATAGAGTTAGGGAGCTGGAGCTTCCCCCCCCCCAAAGAAAGCAACAGAGAGGACAGAGAGATGGGCAAAACTACTGGACGAACACTATCTTTACCATCTTCATTTCAGACAGGTAGAATGTTGCAAGGTAACATGAGGGCAAAGCATTTGCGAGCAAAAGGGAGAGCTCAGGCTGGGATGTGAATGCAGGAAAATGCAAGGAATGTTTTGAACACAGTGGGTGTAAGGTGCTGGTGGGGTACCAAGTAATTCTACACCAGTGATTATGACCTCTGATTTGATAAAATGTTATAGGTATGTTTTCCTTTACTTAGATATTTATACCTGGGGAGTTTTGCATACATGAAACTGTAAGTTCAGCATTATTTAAGTGTAATGGGAACTTGCCATTTGAAGCATATCCTGTGATGAATATGTTTGTAAAGCATTCAGTTGCCACCAGAAACACTAACCTTTAATTTTTCTGTTTTGTACTTTTAAATTTTTATGTATTGGCTTTGCTTATGATAATGTATACTTAGACTAAATCTTTTTTCCAAAAAATAAATTTTAATCCATTTAAAATTTAACTCAACTTAAGCTTTTAGAGCATTGCCTGTTTCTAGTAAATGATTAATAAATGTATATAAATGCTCCTTTGAATTTATATCAATAATTATAAAGTCATCTACCAGTTTTAAAAGCCTGTTTGGATCAGACATTTGTTTGTTCCTGGCAAAGCAATAACTGAATGAAAATTTATTTTATGATTCACAGAATCCCCAGGGGCCCAGGGTGATACAGGCCAATTGATGTTTTAATCCTTTCTGTCCTTCAAAAAGAATGACAGTGATGCTATATTTTTGTTCCTTAGTATTTGCTACATTGAGCTAAGATTATAGATAGAATATAGAATTAAATCCTTGCAAGATTAATTTAAAATCTAAATTAGACAGATATGCAAGATTCTGACCTTGAGAAATAAATTGTAGAAGTGACAACCTAGTGAAAAACTCAGAAACAAACCAAAAAATCTAGAGATGGCAAAATATTCTATCAGCACTTGCTGGTAATGGACTAAAGTATAGGATTGAAAGGTCAATTTCCAGTTCCAGTTCTCTCCTGCACTTCATAATTTTGAGCATGGCACCTCTCTTCATTCCATATGAACTTCCCTATCTTCAAACTAGTTCATATCTCACAGAGAAGCTGCAGTGATATATGAAATAATAAATACAAAGTATTTAAACTTTTCAGAATAACGTTTTCACAACAGAATGAAATAATAATTTCAAAATGAAATAGTAATACACTGTATCAATCACAAAAGCAAGCAAATTGAGAAAGAAATTTTTTATTAGAAAGATTCATTTCAAAATATGATTTTAAGAAAAATTCAACCAGTACATCCAAAATGAACCAATCTGGGGCCACCTGGGTGGCTCAGAGGGTTGAGTGTCTGACCCTTGGTTTTGGCTCAGGTTGTGATCTCAGGGTCATGAGATGGAGCGCTGAGTCAGCCTCTAACCCTCAGCATGGAGTCTGCTTAGGACTCTCTCTCTCTCTCTCTCTCTCTCTCTCTCTCTCTCTCCTTCTACCTCTTTCCAAAAAACTTGATTCATATACAATTTTTGGAAAACATATTTTTCACTATGCAAATTTACCCCATTGCAATTTAATTAAAACTCAATGCATAAGACCATTCCTTAGAATAAATAATGTATTAAATCAGTGGTACTCAGAAATATGTGACATTTTTAACCATTTAAAATTATAATTTAACAAGAAGAGTGATGTGACTGTTAACCTGCCCTTTTGATATTTTGTATAATATTAAATATATTTTGTAAAATAGAAATTGAAAGTCTTGGATATCCACAGATTTCAGACAAAAGAGCCATATGTGCCCTATCCAATTAAAATGAGTACTTAAAGGAATATTTTGTGAGATATTTAGATACCTTAGGAGCTAATAATGATTGCAATGTAATAATATAGTGTGGAGATACGGTTTCTTTTAGAATACATAAAAAGTTTTTTAAATTTAAAATTTTAAATATAAAATTAAATAATACTTAAAACATTGAAATAAACCCACTACATGGAATCACGTGGAATTTGATTACAAATGAGGCTGAGAGTTTTCTTGAGGACAAGACTGATGATAGGAAGGTGAGGAATTTCCCAAGATGGTTGGGAGGAATGTGGATAGCTAGATCATATTCTATAAAAAATAACTGACACAGTCACCAAATTTTAAACAAGGTGGAATACAAAGCAATACTTCACATTTAATAACAGATTATCCTTATCAAAATAATATTTCTGTGGTATGGGGAATGACATGAGTCAACGCCAAAAAAGGATCGAATAAAAAGATGAGCAACCTGCCTCCTCCCCCCACTCTCCTCACCACAGACTTAGCACACCCAAAGAGAAGATGCTGAGAGCCTGAGGAAGAAGCTAAGTGTCAATTTTCATCTCCAGATTCCTCCACATTTGCCTTTTCCCCTGTATCCCTTGTCCCTAAATTCCCTTAGTTTCTTGGCCTCCTTTTTTGGTCCTTAGCTGAACTCGCTGTCTCTCTCACTCCTAATATGCTGATCTGGTCTGGAACCAGCAACAGTGCTTTCCACCTGTGAAGCCCTTCCATTACTTGATGACTGATGACTGATTATATATCTATGACCTCACATATAGCAGTAAGCCATGGATAAAGGCACCTATTCCTATTCCCTGTGGTAGCCCAGTAGAGCCTGTACCAATCTCTTCATGAGCCAACAAGACACTATTTGATTATGAAAGATAAGACTTAAACTCGAGAAAAAGATTTAGAATAAGATCCAGCAAAATGAGGGCACATGTCTCACTTAGATAGGTTAGGGTGGTTGGCCATCCCTCTACTAATCATCCAGTGCCTATGACATAGTTCGGTTTCTATTACAATTCTTGATACATAGAAGGCCCTCAGGAAATATTTAATGAAGGAGAGATGAATGAATAAATAAAATATTATAAGCACCAGCTCTATCTAGGAATGATTATACTGGTTTTTGAGGCCATGCATGGGTTACAAAATATGATGAATCTTTAATTAGTAGAACATGTTTGGTGAAATTTCCATTCACATTTCTTTCAAGAAAAAAGGCAGGAAGCAACTCAGCACATCTACTTGTCATCGCTTTTAGAACATCTGTGGTTTTAAAACAGCTTTGAAAATAGTTACTTGCCTAGAGAAAGGTCTGACTTCTGCTGTATAAGCATTAAAGTGTTCTAAATTCATACACACTAGTAAGTACATACTCTCATAGATGGCAGTTAATAAAAATACTGATTAGGTGGCCTAAATCTTCTTCATACTCTGGTTTTATAGGAATATGTATATGTGCATTTGACTCATTAAATACTTGGTCAAAATGAAGAAAAAGGCAGATGGAACGGATACAATATCTCCCTCCCCCCCCCCTCCTTTTCCTTGCATGAAAAACTGCACATTTACTTTAAAAATCCCAAATAAGAATGTTTACTGCAATGGTCAATGGAAGCAGCATGGGCTGGCATATAAAATGCTGACTGTTTAGCCGGAGAAAACATCCTAAATACAGTGTGTCTCTCTCCATCAGCTGGTGTTCAGTGTTTGTGTTTCTTCAGATTGATCGGCTGGACGTGGATAGCTTGTTTAGCAACATTGAATCTGTGCATCAGATATCAGCCAAGCTGCTGTCATTGTTGGAAGAGGCCACAACAGACGTGGAACCGGCCATGCAAGTAATCGGTATGTTTATTCTCTTCTCGAGTTCTATAATACAACAGGAAATAATATTTTAATAACCTCCCTGTGCTTTGGTTTTATGTTTCTGACTCACCAAGCTTCCCAGGAGATGTATAAATGCTAAACCCATCTTCAGGCTCATTGTAATTACACAAACTCTGTATTTGTCTTCAAATGGGTTTCTATCCATTTGCTGAAGTCCCACAGTAGCACTAAGCACACCATTTGCTTTTTAATTTTCAGTCTTTCAACCTCTTTGCCTTCCAGATGTTCTCTCATTTTGTTTTATGGCTAACACTTACTCGATCCTTAAAGAATTAAATATTTAAATACTTTAATAGCTTTACTGATTTTAGTCACAGTGTTTTCCAGATCTTACACTTATGAATCCATTGACTTTGAGATTGTAAAATATTTTGCATGAAGGGTTTTTATAATTTATAAAACACACAAGTTCTACTTTTCCTTTTTTCTCCATATTATTTGCTTTCCAAATATATTTTTATTCTCAGTCTTAGATTATTTCCTTACTCTGGTAAGATTTTGGAAAAAATACAAAGATCATTGAAAGAGCATTGAGCCAAATTTTGTTTTATTCATTCTATTTCTTGGGAGTTCCAAAAGGAAAACTACTGTGGACTTTTTGAAGGCAAAAGCCACATCGGGGTGCTATGGAGACTAAGACTTCTTTGAGGTTTCTTTCTTTCTTTCTTTCTTTCTTTCTTTCTTTCTTTCTTTCTTTTGTATTTTTCTATTTCACATATAACATGCAATGTATGTTTCCTACAAAGATATTAAAATAAATCAGGAGTAGAAGAATAAAACACCTCCTTCAATGCCACTATCTGTCATATAAAATGATCACAGTTATCAGTTTGATGTGGATCAACTTTCTTTGAGACGTATACAGAGACACAAACACACACTCACACCTTATACTTTGTTCATTGTGTCTTTATTTGTTAATGGAAGTTAGAGTTTCAAAAATGAAATTGATCTTGGTTTGTATTTATGGAAGACCCAAAGCAAGACTGATTATAAATGCAAAGGTGAATCAACCTATTTGTAGTGTTTTATAGACAGAAAGGTCAGCTCACTCAAAAAGATTCTCCCACAGGAAGGGTTAAATTTAATCATTATTTGTGACTAAGTGTCCCTATTATGTACTGAATGTTTGTGTTCCCCTAAAATTCATAGGTTGAACCCTAACCCTCAATGTAATGGTATTTGGAGGTGAGGCCTTTGGGAGGTAATTTGGGTTTAGATGAAGTCATAAGGGTGGGGGGCTCCCCCCATAATGGGATTAGCACACTTATAGGGAAAGAAAGAGACCAGTGTTCCCTGTCTCCCTCTGCACTATGTGAGGACACAAGAGGGCAGCTCCCTGCAAGCCAGGATGGAGGCCTTCACTAGGAACTGAATCTGCTGGCACTTGAATCTTGGACTTCTCAGCCTGCAGAAATGTGAGAAATAAATGTCTATTATGTAAGCCCTTCCACCCTTCAGTCTTTTGTTATGGCAGCCAGAGCTAACGTAGTCTTCAATAAGCTGTAGATATGTTTTCTAAAGGAAGGACTCTATTCATTATTACTTTAGTGTGGATTCATTGGCCATTTATTAATTCCCTCAATGAATAGTTATTAAATAGCAGCATATATAAAGGTACTGAGTGGCATTGTGGGGTATCAAAAGATGAAAAACATCGTTCTGTCCTTCAAAAGTTTGCCATTGAAAAGCTCCTTGTATTGAAGGTATTTGTGTAATACACCATCAGACTATTTTCTACACTACTGGACAACTTCAGAGCATAAAAAGAATATTTCTAGATGGGGAATCATAGAAGGACCCTTGAAGATGTTACTTGGGCTTGCAGTTAGTCCAGATTTCAACAAGTGAGGTCCAGGTCTAAAAAACTAAGTGAAAGCAACAGCATGAACAAAAGCATGAACAGCAAATGCCAAATGGCTAGCATGCTTAGGAAATGGCGAGAGATAAAGCCAAACAGGAGTGAAGGATGAATCTGAAGCAAAAGTGAATCAGAAATGAATTTGGGGGCATCTGTGTGGCTAAGTCGGTTAAGCATCTGCCTTTGGCTCAGGTCATGGTCTCAGGGTCCTGGGATCAAGCCCTGCATCAGGCTCCCAGCTCAGCAGGGAGCCTGCTTCTACCTCTTCTCTCTGCTCATGCTCTCTTTCTCTATCTCTCTCTTTCTCACTGTGTCTGTTTCTCTCAAATAAAATCTTGGAACAAAAAATGAAATGAATCTATAGATGCACCTGGGTAGCTCTTGGTTTCAGCTCATGTCATGATCTCATGGATTATGAGATCAAGCCCCAACTGGGCTCTGTGCTCAGTGTGGAGTCTGCTTGAAGAGTCTCTCCCTCTGCCCCTTCCCCTACTCTCACAGGAGCAAGTGGACTTTCTCTAAATAAATCTTTAAAAAGAAGAAATGCATCCGTAAGTGTAGAATAGAGACAGACTATACTTGGAATCAAATTTGGAATTTACTCTACAGGTACTGAGGAGCCATTAAAAGATTTTTCAGCAAGGGTGTGATGAGACATACAAGTTTCTGGAGAAGGAAAACTATGGTAAGTATGAAGAGAATGAATAGAAGGAGAAAATGAGTCCTAGACTAGTAAATAGGTGGTTATAAATAATGCAGGCATATGGTAACAAGTATCTAAGCTAAGGTGGATACATTGAGAATAAAAAAGAAGGGTCAGATTCAAGAGAAATGTTGAATAAAGCATAAATAAGATTTAGGGGTAGTTTCATATGCTGGAGTCCGAGACAATTCCAGGCCTAAGGAGACAAATAACCTAATTTACCTAGAACATCCTGGTTATAGTCTATTGTTCTAGCATTCAGTCCAGTTTAGCCTTTGTTCTGGAATGTCTCCTTTTTAAGGAGGATCATTATTAATCAGTGTACTACAAGAGATTCAGGAAGACTTCTACATTGCACTCCAATTTCTAACTGGTCTCTCCTAATAGAATATAAGAGACAGGTGTATTTAATAGAGTTCTCACCATAACACATGGTAAACTCTGAAAGACGGTCTATCTCTCCTATCCCAACCTTTTGAAGTAGAGCAAGCACAGCACTGGCTGATAAAAAGATAACATTTGGGCATGAAGCTAACTGCTTCCTGTTTCAGTGGTGGCAGGAGATGTATCTGATGCTACAGATTCTGATATCCATGGGTTATAGCAGCTAGTATGTCATGGCCTATGATGGGTGGCCCATGCTGTGACCTGTGAGACGCATGAAGCCACCAGGATAACAGCCAGTGGGTTTTAGTGGGACATATAGGGAATTAAAGAGTAGATGTGGGGCACTTGTGTGGCTCGGAAGGTTAAGCGTCCTCCTTCGGCTTGGGTCATGATCTCGGAGTTCTGGGATTGAGCCCTGTGTTGGACTCCCTGTTTAGCAGAGTCTATTTCTCCCTCTCCCTCTGCACCCCCAGCTCATGCACGCTCTCTCCCTATCTCTGTGTCAACTGAATAACTAAAATTTTTAAAAAGGATTAGATGTAAGTGAAATTGTTTGAGAAATAGAGGCTTTGCAGTTCTGCTACAGAGTATCTGGATACTGTTGCTACAATAATTTGGTAATTTATCTTATGATACAAATCCATAACTTTTTAATTATCTGGTTATGCTTACTTTGTTTTGCAATAAACCCTTTCAGAAGCAAGTGTTTAATCTATGCATGTTTAATAAAAATTAAGTATTGATTTTCTGTTGCTCAAGAAAGTTGATCATGAACACATAACACACAGCATACTCGCTATCCACAATGGGATTCTTAATGCTATGACTGACCCGAAGACAAACAGAAGACAGAAATGGGCTGGAGAAGCAGCAATGCCTACACCAAATTTTAAAGCCTTGGTATTCGGCATTTGCTGACCATGCTTCTGTTCATGCTGCTACTTCTACTTGGAACCCTCTTCCTGACCTTCTTCCCACTTCCCATTTGGTGAAATCTTACCTATACTTTAAGCCCAAGTGCATGTGGTTTAACACGTGCAGCTACAGAGGCGAGTTTACACCGAACACTTCATGCAGCATGACTTCATGAGGTCAAATGACAGTTATCCTAAATTAATCTCTTTTATTTTTTTTTAAATTTTTATTTATTTATGATAGTCACAGAGAGAGAGAGAGAGGCAGAGACACAGGTAGAGGGAGAAGCAGGCTCCATGCACCGGGAGCCCGACGTGGGATTCGATCCCGGGTCTCCAGGATCGCGCCCTGGGCCAAAGGCAGGCGCCAAACCGCTGCGCCACCCAGGGATCCCCTAATCTCTTTTATTTTTAATTCTGAGTTACCTTGGGCACATGAGAAATGTAAGGCAATGGTTATTAATGAGTCGACAACAATAGCAGAAGAGTTTACAGTTAAATTATGACAAGTTTATAATAGTGTGAGCATATAAAGAACCAATTAATTCCAGTAATGATTTAAAAATGTTTAGCCAGGGTCATCTGAGTGGCCCAGTGGTTGAGCATCTGCCTTTGCCTCAGGTCATGATCCTTGGGTCCTTGACAAAATAATGGATTGATATTCTTCTAAAATGTTAAGGTCTTTAAAGATGAGGTAAGACTGGGGCACCTGGGTTGCTCAGTGGTTGATCACGCCTTTGGCTCAGGGCGTGATCCCGGGGTACTGGGATTGAGTCCCACATCGGGCTCCCTGCAGGAAGCCTGCTTCTCCCTGTGCCTCTCTGTCTCTCATAAATAAACAAACAAACAATAAATAAAGCAAGTGGAAGCCTGGATAGATTCTAGAACAGTAAAAGAATGTAGCATTGAAATTCAAATACAGTATTTGATTTAGGTAATAATAATAAAGAAAACTTTATTTCCCTTTCTGACAACTGTACTGTGGTTACACAAGATTTTTTTAAAATTTTATTTATTTATTCATAAGAGATGGAGACAGAGAGGCAGAGACAGAAGCAGACTTCTTGCAGGGAGCCTGATGCAGGACTCGATT